CTCATCGTCATCCTAAGGGTAGGAGACCCATCGTGCATTCATCAATAAAGAATAAACGTAAGTCAATTTTTATATTAAACATTTTTTCAATAATTATAATAATTTTTATATAACAACGATTTATATTATTTTGTTTTTATTTGTGTTTCAGATCATCGTTGGAATGGTATTCACATTTTATTAATTAAATTCATTTAGAAATTCGTTTAACACTAGATTTGTTCACTATTGTTTTGTYCATTATTTTTTTAAAATTTGCAAACGTTGTTTAAATGAAAAAGTGGATAAAGGAAAGGAATTAATATTTATGTATATTTCATTACAGCAATTAAAATTACCATAAAATTTTAAAAAATATTCTACTGTAAAGTTAATTAAATTTAAATTTTCTTAAATTACAATTAATTAAAATAATTCTATTTTATATATATATGTAACAAATAAGTTTGAAATGAATCATATTTGTTCAGTCCATAAATCTAGTGTTAATTGAATTAACTGAATATAATGCAGTTTTATGGTCATTATTTGTGCATTGTCGTCGTCATCCTAAGGAAAGGAGATCCATTGTGCATTCATCAATAAAGATTTTTAGTGAGTATATTTTTGTATGAAATAATTCCTTAAAAATTTTTCATGGTTTTCTGTAATAGTAATGATATTAATAGTRTTGTTTTTTATTTCAGTTTCAGATTGCAATAGTGCGCGAAGCAATATGTGCAGTGTTTATGGTGGTATTATCAAACTGCGTGCAATGCAGTCTTTGWATTAGTTGTAGAATCAGTGATCGGGCGAGTAATAARTTAAAATCAAACGCGAATTAGAGTCAGTGTTGTTCGTCGTATAATAAAATTTCGGTATCGCGATAAGAAACTCATCTATAGTTTCTTATTTTCGTTTATACCGCGTTTTTAGATTCACGCGAGGTGCATCACCATGGTGCAATAGAGCTGCATCTCATTGGAATGCATTGTAAGTATTCATTTGTATTTACATTTTATTCGATTTTATTTTATATGATTTTAAATAATATTCCAAATAACTTATAGTTTTGTTCTATTTTATTTTACAGATATAACCATGGATTCTCTTCTTTTCAAAGATGTTGGATGAATTCTTCGATGGATCTTCGATGGATCTTCTTCAATGGCAAATCGAGTATCGTCTTCCATGGTCAGACTACAATACTTGCTGCGAAGTAGGAGTGTTTTGGAGCCATCGCAGANCTTTGAATTTAATTAACATAAATAATATTTAAGAGACATATCCATTTGTATTAAAAAATATTACTTGCCAAAGAAAAATAGAAAAAAAGAAATAAATCAAAGTAATTTAAATAATAATAATAAAAAATGTTTACATTTTAATTAATTATTTAATCGTATTATGTAAATATATTATTTATAATTGACAACAATTCTCACTTCCTTTTAAGTATTAATTTAATCGTAATTTTTTTTTCCTTTTGTGTTATAAAAAGTATTTAATTTGTAGTATTAAATAAATGTAGTTTAATAATTAACATTTTTGAATGAAATAATATTTAAAAGATACTAGTTGATATTAAAAAATATTATTTGCAAAAAAGAATTCATCAAAGTAATTTTAATAATATTAATAATAAAAAGAAACTGTTTGAATTTAATTAAACATATTATTAAAAAAAAACTCATATGAAATAAATAATTTGGAAAACATTTTAATTGATTTAATTTGTGTCAATGAAAAATCCAAAGATTTTTTAGAAAAAAAAAAAAAAACAAAAAATTATTAAACAATTTCTTTAACATAAAACAAAAAGTGTTAGAAAATGATAAACAAAAACAAATATTTATTTAATTAATTAACATTGAATATTTCTTTAACCTGTTAACAGGGGGAAATTCCCTAGAATTACGTAGTAACTCTTTTTATTATTTATTTATTGTATTATTTTTTTATTCGTATTAATTAATTTATTTATTCATTTATTATTTTTTATATATTAATTTATTTATTTATTATTTATGCTTAATATTTTATTAAACAATTATAATATTACATTATGAGATTTGGTTAAAACGTAAAAAAAAAAAAAACGAATAAAACGTATGAACATTTCTCTATCTCTCTCTCTCTCTTTTTTTTTCTTTTTTTTTTTTTTCTAAAAATTACATTGAAATAATGAAGAGTTTAACGATTGAAAATAGAATTTTATTAGAATGCGCTGAGGGTGACTTCGATATAAAGGTTTGCGTGAACGTTTCAGTAACTTTTGTGTGAATTCTCGCAGTTGGTTTAACGATGCCCACAAAATCATCCTGTATTTTCGTGTATTGGCCTTAACGAGAACGACCTATGTATTATTTAATGATGACGGTTGATCAATTGACCAATATATATCGACAATTAATTTACCGAAAACGTTTTGGACATTGAGAGCTTATGATTTTCGCTTAACATTCAATTTTACAGTAGGTATGTAGAATTTACAACTGATTCGGATTTCAAACGTTACGTTTAAACTGTGAATGATTTGTCATTGTAATCATTTATTGAAACATCTCTAAATGCAAATACATATATATATATATATATATATATATATATATATATATATATATATAC